CAGAATATAAAAAGTTGTTAGTTCGTTATAAAACATAGACCCGAAATTTGCTCATGGTTTTTGATAACTCAGATGCGTAGTTGTTCCCTAAAACGTCTCTTTGCGAATAGCAAAGGAAAATTCCGTGACTAGCAATCATTGCGCCGTAAAATCTTAAAGATCATACGATCCCAGGAAAACAAACAAACCGTACATTGTCCTATCTTCCTATCATAAAGTGACGCAACTTCCTCACCCCCTTATTTTCATACCTAGATCACGTCACATTTCTTTTCCCCTCTCACAAAAGACGCAAAAACGCAACTATCCCCTCTCCCTTATATCTTGCTTATGATTTGCCAATATTTTACGTGCAGCTTCCATTCACTTTTCCTTCCAAAGAAAGATACATTTCTACAAAACTGTTCCCTCTCGTCAATTGTAGGAGTGGTCAATTTCTGTTTCATAAATCTAAAGGATTGTCATCACCTCATATACCTTCCCCTTAAAAACCCATTGGGAAACCTTCCAATCTCACACATCTTCTTCCCACGAAAATTGATTTTATTGGTAATTGTCATCTGCCACTCCCAAAAACATTCCATATAATATTCCGATTCTTTCATCGCATGCGCTCATGTATTCTATTCTAGATTCCGTAGTCTACATTCAGTCAGAAAGTCAAATACCAGTCTCAGGATTTCTTACATCATCAGGTTTTCTTATATCATAGTCTTTGTTACCATCACAATCATATTTACGTTAATTCTCATATATACTCATATATACTCGTATGTGCGTTCATGTTTTATATTAATTAACTAACCAGAACCATGTTCTGCATACTATTTACTAAAGATCTGCGTACTATTTACCATCGATTCACCAGAATTGTAAGTCTCTACTTTTATTTCATATTTATATATGACTTTTAATAATTCCAATATTCCAATCCTATTTCACCTCTTAAACACACACATATATATCAGCGCAATTGTTATTCTTTTATGTTACGTAATGTCGTTATTCCTATAATATCAATATGTTAATTATTCTCGTTATGTCAGATCCGATCATATTACATTAAATTGCAAGGATTACCTTTACTTTTATTCCACATTTTTATTGTATTATTCTGATAACGCTAAGTAATAAAATTCCGTTTGGTATTAAGCTATACTTCCCATTGTGTTTAATGAGTTAACCGTCTCATCTTTTAAACATTGCATTTTTTACACTGACTTTTCTCATCAATTTATCAATTGTTAATCTATGTAAATAGTAAATTGTTATTAGTATAATTAATAAACTCCTGATTCAAAATGTCTTAAGTTTAACTAAATTTGTTACATTTATTTATTTGTTTTCTTTGAATTATTTCAATCAGAAATCCTCTTTCAACAATCTCATATGGTACTATTCCAAGTATAGAGATTAAGTTCTTTGATCTAAATAAAGAGCCAAATGTATGTAATGTTCTGCCATAGAATAAATGGGCCCTTCCGGACCTTGACTAATCCGCAGACCTGCAAGTACGTTTGGGCTTTGCGAGTGCGCAAGTATGCAATGTCTGTTGTGCGAATCCTCTTCCAAGACGTAACAATATATTTCAGCAATTTTTCAATAATTTTTCAGTAACTTTCATCTCACTGTTCATCAAGTTCATAGTATACCAGTACTCGAATATAAGGGAAGTTAAAATATATTATTGAAATTTATAGAATTTTACTGAAAATTGCATTGACAAAATGATAATGAAATGGGGTCAACTGAAAAGAATTTCAGTGTAATTTTCAGCATATTATTTCCATTAATGTATGTTTACCTCAACTTTGTTTCAAATTTACATTGTTACGTCCTGGGTGTCTCGGAAACTACGAATTTCTCTTTTTAATTATATGATTGGGAAACAGACGGACTTCGGGCAAGCGCTACTGTAATAAAGATAAGATTACAATGGCCGCCGCTAAACGTGCAGCATAGTTCCCAATGCGTCTATCATTTTTTCCGCCTTCACGTAAGGTATGTAGTTTATTTACATCCTGGATACCCCGAGGACAAGAAATTCCTTTTTTTATAACTAAGATAATCTGCCGCCTCGACGATGGGCACGTATTTGTTCATCCTGGGTACCTAGATAGTAGCGAATTCCTTCTTTTATGATTGTAAAACAAACAGATTTGAGCAAGCGCTTTTATGGAAAAAATACGATTACACGCCGCCCAAATACGTCATAAGGCTCCCGATGGGTCTGCGATCTTATCCGCCTATGTACATAGCCGGTCGAACGAAGGCCCTTCGATAGATTATGTTCTTAGAATCATTTATAACATCCAAATAGTATTAAGAATTTTCCAGAATAACCATTTCCCACGTAACCTTCTCTCATTGGTGGTCGTCACCCACCACCCCCTGAAATCTTTCCTATATAAGCCCCACTCTTTTGCCGTGAGTTCAGTTCAGTTCAAGTTCAAGTCCAGTTAAAGTTAATATTCAGTCTTCAGCAGTCCAAGAATCAGTCCAGTCTTAGTCTTCTTCATTCTCATTCTCAAATCTTCTTCTGTAGTCTTTGTTTTCGTCTTCATTCGTCTTCAGTTGTCAGTCATTGATTCATCTAAATCGTAAGTCTCTATTTCATATTTAACCATGACTTTTAATAATTTCAATCCAATCTCCAATCTCATTTCACTCCTCAAACCATACACAATTATTATCTGCCTTAAATTATATAATGATGTTTTCCTCGCCATACCAATATGTTAAATATTCTTGTTACGTTAAATCCGATCGTATTATATTAAATTACACGGATTACCTTTTTTCCTTAATCTCACTTTAATCTTCATTTTGTATTCGCATTATTCCAATAATGCTGATTTATAAAAGTTGTTTAATGTTAACCCACATATCTCATTGTTTAACTTTAGCTAACCCTTTCATCTTTTAAATGTTGTATCTTTTACAATGACTTTTCTTATCAATATACCACTATTATTAATCCATCCGAGAACCAAATTATGTTACTAATAAACTGTTTTATTCGAAATGCCCTAAATTTAATCAAATCGTTAAAACTATTTATTAACTTCCTTTCAATCACTCAAATCTAAATTCCCCTCTCAACACGCTCATATGGTCTTATCCCAGGTAAAGAGATTAAGTTTTTTGACCTAAATAAAGGACCACCTAACGTACGTTCTGCGATCGGAGTAAATGGGCCTCTCCGGACCTTGACCTGATGACCTAATGATCTGCAGACCTATCAGACCGTTTAAGGCTCGCGAGTGCGCGAGTAAGCGATTATGTTTTATGGACGTAACAAATGCTAGTCTCTATATAATTTTTGTATAGTATTATTATATTGTAATAGTAATTATAATTTGTACATTCTCGTTACTGTCATTATTAATATAATAGTTCAATTCAGGATAGCAGCCGATTTTTGTTAACTAGACTCCATATAAGTAAAGAGACAAAAGAAGACTTTGTTTTACTATAGCTACTAGTTTTTAATATTTCTCCTGTATTTAATTAATCTCTCTGCATGAATGGCTGTATTGTATTGTAAATTGATTTTATAGGGGTTATAAATAAATTTCTCATCAGATTTTCTACACGAAACATGATATAATCGACGTCGTTTTCGCATCCTGTATGAATCCATATTTATCCAGATATATAAATGCCTTAGGTGGTACATATCCTGTGAGTATTGTCTTCCGAATATATTCAGGCTCTGGATGAACTATAGGGAATATTAAGCGATTTTCCGTAATTTTGGATGGAGTTACAAAATAATTTTTAATTATTTTAATTATTAAGTCGTTACGTATGAAATGTCCGATTTGGAACAGAAAGTTTGGTTATTATATCTCAAGCAAAAAGCAATATAATCAATCAAAGTACGCGCTTAAACTATCGATATAGTTTTGCAATCTTAACGGTACCTTGTTAATGCTGGCAGCGAAGAAGTCTGGAGAGCGAGTAGTGATAAAATCGCGAAAGGTATTTTCTACAACTTGTTGGAAATAAAATATTTTTCCTTGCAAGATGTGGTACAATGCCTGGAAGAAATGGTAGCTAGTTGGTGCAAGTTCTGGGAAATACGGAGGGTGACAGAGAGTCCAGCTCCTAGTAGTTTGAGCAACATTACTCGTGCGACAAGTGGTCGAGCATTGTCCTGCAAGAGGATTGTCTTATCTCTATTCACCAATCTCAGCTGCTTAATTCCAAGCTCTTTCATCACTTCGTCTAATTGGTTATAATAGACATCCGCCGTAATCGATTGACCAAGTTTCATGAAGCTGTAGTGGAAAACACCAGCGCTGGACCACCAAACAGACACCATTAGTTTTTTTTGGTAAACATTCGGTTTCAAAATGTGTTTTGGCATTTCATCTTTATCCAACCATTGTGCCGAATGTTTGCGATTGTCGAAAAGAATACATTTTTCATCACATGTAACAATACGGTGTAAAAATGGTTCGCCTTTATGTCACAACAGCAAAGAAAGACAAGCTTCGAAACGATTTCTCTTCTAACGCTTGTTTAATTCATGCGGAACCAATGTATCCAGCTTCTTAACCTTACCGATTTGTTTCAAATTTTTTTAATATTGTTGGAACAGTAACATTAAACCTTGTTGCTAATTCATGCGTACTTTGAGATGTATCCGCTTCTACTGCAGCTTTCAGGTCATCATTATCCATCTTGCTCTCAGGTCTCCCACGTAGTTCATTTTGAAAATCAAAATCGCCAGATCGGAACTTCTCAAACCATCAACGTACTGTGCGTTCATTAGCCACATCCTTAATGTAGTCCAAACACTTCGTTGACACTTCGAGTTGTTTGCACTATATTAGTTCCACGACGGAACTCAAATTTTTTTTTTATTATGTTGGTATATATGCCCCTGAAGTATGATAAAATTTTCAGCTGTATTCATTGTTTACTTTGTCTGTGGCAGCCGCTAAGGTTAGACGTGTTTTTATGAGCTCGGCAATTTTCGTTTATTAAAAGAAATGGATCAAAGAATTTGTATCAAATTTTGCGTAAAAAAGTATAACAAAGTATGTGAAATGTTAATAAAGGCCTATGGTAAGTCTGCTATGAGTAAAACAAGAGTTTACGAGTGGTATAAGCGTTTCCAAGATGGCCGTGAAGACGTTGAAGATGACGAACGCCCCGGACGGCCCAGCACATCAACAACCGATGAAAACGTGGAAAAAGTGAAAGAAATGGTTATGAACAATCGCCGACTCACAGTCAGAGAAGTCGCTGATGATGTTGGCATATCGATTGGCTCATGCCATGAAATTTTTTCGAATGTTTTGGGTATGAAACGTGTGGCAGCAAAATTTCACAACATTTCATTGCTTGTTCGTGAATTTTTGGCCAAAAACAATACTGTAACGATGCCCCAGCCTCCATATTCGCCAGACATGGCTCCGTGTAACTTTTTCCTATTTCCAAAAATAAAGAGAACCTTAAAGGGCCGTCGTTTTACAAGCATAGATGACATTAAAAGCGCATCGCTGAAAAAGCTAAAGGCTATCCCAAAGATCGAGTTTGAGAAGTGTTTCGAAGATTGGAAGAAGCGCTGGCACAAGTGCATAATATCTAATGGAGACTATTTTAAAAGCGACAATATTAATGTAGACGAATAAATAAATATTTTTTTCAAAAAACGAAAATTCCCGTTATTTTCTGAACACACCTCGTATTTAAAGTATTTTGACTCACAGGATCTATATCTATCGAGGAATGCCCTAAGTTTTTCGCTCGAACAGTCTAATTTTTTCCATCGTTACCGCTGAGATATTGAACCACATCAGAACAGCCGTATGTTAAAATAAGAAAAATTAACGATTGATAGCAAATGACTTTAATTATATTAAATAGTTAATTTGAATAAAATATCTGACAGTGTCTAATAAACATAGCTTCAATTTTTTTTAATTGAGTATCAATATGATTTATAAAGAGAAGTTTTTCGTCTAAATAAACTAAATATCTCACTACTAGATTGCGCATAATATTTTTTAAACCAAATTGTTTATATTATTTATTAATTGCATATGTAGCTTGTTTAATTGAAAAGTGAAATCATATACATATTTGTTCACATTTATTCACGTTTACTTTTAGTTTCCACGCATAACATTTTAATATTTTATCTATTGCCTGCTGTAATGTAGATTATGCTAATAATGATTTCTTATTTACATTATATATAATGAGATCATTTACATATGCAATCATAGAAAATCCAATATTGTGTTCTCCATAAAATCTTACAACATCGCATGTATACAAATTAAATAAAAGAGAAGAGTTTATAGTGCCTTATTGAAGGCCATTAACTACCGAATATTCTTGATTTTTTATTTACAAAGATATAACGAATTTGCAATCTTTAATCATGTTTTAGATAAGTTTAATTAATAAATTTGGGAAATTCTTTTTATGCAATTTAAGTAATAAGCCATCAATCCACACTGTGCTCAAAGCCTTTTCTAAGTCAGTAAGACATGCTCCAACACATATTTTTCTATTTAGTGTGCATCTTAATTAACCCCTTGCCGTGCCATTTAGCTCGACGAAACTCGGGCCCAAGTGTTACGCGTCAACGCGTGGTAAACAGACTTACTTACTTTGTAACAGCAATTATGAGACTCGTGACTAACTCTGGTGGCGTACTGATAGAAACTAACATTCAATCACGATCCAGGCTCGTGATGTTTATGTTTGATCCGACTATCTGTACACGACCTCGGCTCGTGATGTTTACGTTTGGCCCGACGATCTATTCACGAGCCTGGCTCGTCATATTCATGTTTGGGCCAAAATTTTCATCACGAGTCAAATTCGTTAAAGCACGGCAAGGGGTTAAGGGGAGATATACACGTAGATGGTCGAAAAAATCGATTTTATTTTTTTTGCATTTCCTTGAAGTTTGAGGTCATTAGAATATCAGGTAAAAACGGTAAAGTAGTATTTCGATAAATAAGTTACAGCCGAGACGGTGAAACGTGTTTTACAGCGCCGATCCGACAGGCGACAGGCAGGTAACGGCAAGTGACCCTTCGAACAAAAGGCGTACACTTATTTTGTGATTCAATTGTTTGTGTTTTTGGGCATACTAGGCAGGTGTAGCATGCTTGGCTCCAGGTATAACAGAAATATCAGATGGCTGTTATTCATTGCCAGAAGTAGACACGTTTTCAGTAGCTTGTTGTTCTTGCAACTGTGCGTTTTAGTGAATTTTCGTTAGTGAACAAATATTGAGAGAAAAATGGATACAAAAAATAAAGGTTCTCGAGAAGCTCATCGATCCGGATCTTTTCGCAAGGATCGAAGTAAAAAAGCGAAAGCTACAAATAAACTGAAAAATTTCCGTCACGATTATGCTGCATTGCCAAAAGAGGTGTTAGATGTCATTAAACCAATATACGAAGACCTCAGCAATGACAAATTGTTAGAACGCTGTGTTGGCGGATATACCCAAAACTCCAATGAGAGCTTCAACCAACTGATTTGGAAGATAGCTCCAAAAACGATGAACAGCGGGGCCGAAATCGTTAACATTGCTGTATTTCTGGCAACATGCATGTTCAACAATGGTGTCACCTCATTATTGGAAATTATGAACGTGTTGGGAATATCAGTTGGTTCAGGAGCACACTTGTACGCTGCAGAAGAAGACAAAACTCGCATTGCGAAAGCCGAGCTGCAAGCGCAAGAATAGACAAAAGAAGGTCGAATACGGCGCCGACAACAAAATTTAGAAGAAATGAACATTCCGTTGACCGAGGAAGACCTACACTATGGGTCTGGTATCGATGATTCCATGTAAGTTGACAAATTTCATGATTAATTCATTCTCAAATTTTCAAATGCGTTTTTCTCAAAACCACGTTTTTTAAATCGGTACCCAAAATTTCTCGAAAACCAATGAACCGATTGCCTTGAGGTTTTTTTTGGTTATTCTATACACAATTATCTAGTACTTGTCATAGGATTTTTTTTTCCGTTACTTAGTTTTTGTTTTATAGGCAAAGTAATAATTAATTTTTGGCCCAAAAATCACCCTTTATGTTCAGACGTTCGCCATTTTGTCATAAATCGATATTTTCAAAATCGCCTATGACAAGTACTAGATTATAGTATCTATTTTAATAATCTTTTTGGTTTTTTCTTTTCAGATGATTTTTAAAGAAACGCCAGTGAGTACCATGTTTTTACAGTGCTTCATCATCCAATATCCTTGTAAATTTTTGCTATTTTTAACTAAAAAAAAATAAATATATTTTTTAATGTATATACTTTTAGATAATTAAAACCCCAATCCGAAATTTCAAATAGTTCTCCTTGAAAAAATTCACAAAAAATGACCTTTTTTCCGGCTTCTAGGTGTATATCTCCTCTTAAACGATTAATTGTATAGAAATAATTGTATAGAATGTTGAACGCCCTCCGCGAAAGCCAAAATGATTTTCTGATGTAAGACAATATTCTTTACAATATGCTACAAGAATATTATTTAAAAACATTTCGTATACCTTACTAATATTGGGTAATAGGCTAATTGAGCTATGATATTTTCTGCGTAGTATGGATGTTAGCGATGATAGCTAGACAATTCCACGAACATTACTACCTAAAACCTATCGGTATGTTGTATCTAATATCCTAAAACAATCCTAAAAGAAATGTGTACATTATAATTAAGATCGATAATTAATTAAGATCGATACAGAAAAATAAATTTATATAAGAACAGTGTGATTATGATTCAAGTTTATTAAACAATACGACACCTCTTTACTTTTTTCCAAAAAGTTATCGTTTAAAAATTCAGAAATTAAAAAAGAATGATGCCAACATCACATAGTGTTCCCAAGTGGTCATTCATCCAAATATTAGATGTACAAATGAATAATTCAAATTTTTCAGCTAAATTCGAGATTTATTTTAAAAGAAAGTAAAACAAATTTTCCAATTAAACTATTCGCTGTTGCTTTCTATAAGCATATTTCTTTAAGTCATCTTTCAGGCAGCTGATAAATTCCATCTCGGAGAAATGCTGTATCTTTGGATATGATAAAGTCGTCAAGCAATTTTCGGATCTCATAATTCCACTGATTGGAAGTAAGTATCGGACAAGACATCGGCCAGAACAATAATCGGATGGAGCAATGTCTGATAAATACGCCGTGTGCTGCAAGACGTACCAGCCAAAATTCATTATGGTGCCCTTGGTCTTGGAAGCAATGTATGGCCTGGCGTTGTCATGCAAAAATTTCACAAGGACTTTCTCCTTTGCCAGTATACGGGAGTTTCTGTTCCAATTCTTGACTCAAGCGGATGAATTGGCGTTGATAATAGACCGCAGTAACTGTTTTACCCGATTCCAGCAACTCATAATAGAGCACGCCTTTGATATCCCAGCAAATGCAAAACCTCCAGGGCATCCATGACGTTGTTTATCGATCAGACGACTGAAATCACTGCTTTTAAACAGCTTAAACCAAAATCCGCACAAAGCCTACGATACAACACCTTTGACGAGAAAGCGACAAATCGATTCACACGCTCTTGCTGCATTTTTTTCTTGTTGGAATTCATAAAAGATACAGTGTCGGATCTGCACCTTATCTGTTGCCATGTTTGACTCTACTGAACTGAATACTTTTGAAGATTATGCTGGGCTTTTCACCATACTAAATGTTATTTTGAATAGCTATATGTCAACATTACATAACCGCAAAAAAGCGGGAAATTCAATTGATTTTAAAATTAATTTCTTAACTGTTTAAAAACATTTGGATTATTCATTTGTATACCTAATATTAACCGTGCCCAACGCTGCTTGATTGCAGTGATCGGACGAAAACTGGTATTTTCAACTTTGTTTTAAGTTGTTTATTTTTCAATCGTGAAATATATACAATGTGATGTAACTACAATAAACAAAAATAATGATATAAACTTAAATTTTTCCTATAAGGTGTGTCGACTCTGTGAGTGTTCCGAAGTCTGTCTGTCGTAAATAGGATACTTGGTTTTATAATTTAAATTAATTAAATAAACAATAATCGTGTTGTTTTTCTTATGTTCTATGTTCGTCCACGCAGGGACTTTGTACTTTTGGAGTAGTGCTCTTCCTCCAAAATTGTTCGCCATAAAAAGAAGAGCATTCTATCTGTGGGAAGTATTTTTTTTTCCTTAATATTTTCTTTTTTCATTTTTTTCATCTTTTTTGTACTGAAGGATACATAAATTTTAATAACTACTATATACAGAACAACAAAATAAATAAAAACGATGAATACAGTCAAGAGTTTTGAATAAAATTAGATTACAATGTTTATATCTTGTGTACGTGTTTTTATTTTACTTATCACATGTGACGATGCAAATTTTTGCTCGTTACTCAGGATTGTGGTCTAGTCGAGGATGAGCCGGAAACTCGCGCCTTTTTAAAAGAGAAGACGACCAAATTTTATAATTTTGATTTCGTGCGCCGTTTTGCGAACGAGACGCGACCCGCAGCTATTATAATTTTTGATAATTGTAAGATTACCCACTACGAGCCAGTACATCAGACATAAGGAGATTGGAGAAATCAGAGCTGCCGGGATGAGCCGAGCACGAACGAGAGCGA